TTTATCTCCTAAACCTCCAGTTTAAACGTTGAACCATGTAGCTAAGGTAGGAAATGGAAAGTATTTCCTGTGAGCAACCTCAGAGCTGGAGGGAAGACTGGTCCTGCTGGTCATCTGGGCCACATGTTTGCCTTTAAGACAACAGATGCATGCTCTCTGTAGACTGAAGCCAGGAAGCAGGAACCAGTGTGTTTTGTTTCAGAGACAAGGGACAGGAGCTGATTTGTAAATGCATTGGCTGAAATGCCAGCACACCTTATGAAGGAAAGAGAATATGTGTCCTGAACTTAAGGGTGAGAGAGAGGATTTTTTTCTTCCCTTTTGCTTTGCCCCAGACTACTGGATATACATTTCAGGTGTCAACATTATATCAGCAAGTAATTAAATCGCACAGCAAAAGTTGATTTTATGTGATTCTAAAACCCATGGAAGTCAGGCTCCAGCAGGAAAGGGGCTGGTTTTCTTCCTTCTTGATTCTTTCTTCCTCTGTATCATTCGATAGTGGGTTCCATGTGTTGTTGAAATTATGAAAAATGTGACTCTCATCCACAAGAAGCTCAAGCTTGATAAATATGTCTGAAAGACGCCTCGCAAGTATCTGTAGGAAAAGCGAATTTGCCTCCACACCCAGGGGAACTGGGAGCTGCTCCAGTATAATGAGAGGAGAGGGCTGGGGCAATGTCCTGGCTCAGGTCCCCCTGTGCAGCCTGCTCTGCCCTGTGGCTGCAGCATTTAGGTGGAGCTGCTAAGTGCTGTAAAGCTCTCTGAGCAGCAAGAGGGGCCATGCTGGTCAGGTCTCCCTGGGAAAAGCAGAAATAAATCACACACCAGCTCCTACTTAAGATCTGATGAAATTCTCCATTTCCGCTCTAAATTGAATTCCTCCCGAAGGATTGGAGCAGCTCCTGGGAGTAATGAAGGCGCTCCTTCCTCCTCTGCTTGAAGCATGTTTCAAATTAGCGGACACAGCACTCTAGTCTGGGTGGGTAGGTAGCACTAGGGAACAGTCTTGAGAAACTGTTTTCAGAGAAGACATGATATATGTAATGTCAAGGGGCAGACGGCAGTCATCCAATACCTCTGGCCTCGGTGGAGGGAGCAGCCTCCACCACGCCGGTGGTCTCCTGGGGAAGGGACAACACATGGCCCGCAGTGACTCCGCACCAGCCCCTGCCTGCCAACCCCCTCCTGCGCCAGGCAGAGCGAGGAGCAGGTGTGGTGCAGGTACGAGTGAGGGGGCCTATGCTTTTTGAGATTAAAATTGTCACTTTCCTGCCCATTTCATATTTGGGAAAAACAGAGAGAGGGAGACAGAGAGAAAAAGAGGGAGAGAGGGAGAGAAAGAGAGAGAGAGAGTGAGTTAGAGAGTTAGGATCTTCCTTCCTCTGTCATGACCATGGATTGACAGTTTGGCATTTGTAGAGGCTGTTGACACAGACTCTTCCATGGGGAAAAATGAAAGCCACTTTCCAATTGGCTTTGTCAAATGAAGACTGATTGCCAGCTGCTGACTGGGACGGAATAAGACTCTGGGATTGTAGGAATGTGTGAGGCGCCTGGGAGTGAGCCTTAACTTCAAGGTTAAGGTCAGGCTAGAAGGTTCTGAAAGTTCCTTCTGTTGTGAAAGTGGCCATGAGGCAGCCTATCTGTTGCTAAAAGAATATTGACTATTACTCCTTGAAGTAAGCTTAAGAATATTATTATAGTTTTTCTTGCTGTTGAAGAAAAGCAGTTTACTTTTTTTGTAGTTTGTTTGTTTTTTTGGTACCAGGGATCGAACTTGGGACCTTGCACTTGCAAAGCAGGTAGTGGAACCACTGAGCTAAATCCCCAGCCCTTGTTTTTTTTTTTTTTTTTTTTTTTTTTTTTGCCAAGG